ACATGATTGCATTGTCTGGGAACAGAAATACTGTCACGGAAGCCAAACACAGGGTGTGTGAAGTGCTGGGAACACTTCACAGAGAGCAAGAATCTGCCACCCTACACTCCATCAGGCACTAATGTACTGCAGAAATTCTCTCTCAGGGTATGACTTACATGAGGTATTGGTTGACAGTTGAGTAGAAAAAATTATTAAGAGCTAGGCATGGTGGTGCCCGCTTGTGACCTCAGTACCCAGAATGGGAGACAGGCAGATTACTGTGAGTTTGAGGCCATCCAGTGCTGTATAGTGAGACCCTGCCGCAAAAATAAAATCTAAAATAGTATACATATATCTTAATATATATTTTCATTAAAACACCTACATAACTCTTTTATGTAGGGTGAAAGATTTTTAAATATAAGCATCTTAAACTTGGTATGGTGGTGCATACCTCTAATCCTAAGCATTTGTGAAGTGGAGGCAGGAGGCTCAGGGATTCAGTTCATGCTAGGCTACAAAGTGAGCTTGAGGTCAATATGGGTTGCATAAGATCCTGTCTCAGAATAAACAAACAAACAAACAAATATACATATATATTTTTTTCATCATGTGTCTACAGCTGATACAACTTTTTACAAATTAGACCCATAATTCCTATGGTCTATGATTTCTAACTTCAGTTTTCTTAAACCAAATCAGTGACTTAAAAGCAAACAGCAATTTTAGTACAGAATTTTACAGTATCTATATGTATGCATACACACACACACACACACACACACACACACACACACACACACTGCTCCTCATTCTCCTCCTGTTTTTTTAGTGCTGACAAATTACACCCAGAGTCTTGTATATGCTAAATGTTTGCCAACAATCAAATTAACAACTCCTTCCAGTTCTTTGTCCCCATCACGCCTTTACAGAGAATTGGCCTAAGTTTTCTTTGAAATCACAACCCTCCCTCTTTCTATATTATGTCCTTAGTTTATTCAACACTGAGTTGATTTTGATTATTAAATTGACAGGAACAACCAGTAGAAACCAATCTAGAAATGGACACAGCTATTTCATAGAGCTGGAACATGCTAGAAGGGTGGAGATGCTCTGCTCTTGCTTGCTATAGAGCTGCCTGCCAGCTGCTTCCATGGATGGGAGTGCACCCATATACTGAGAATATTCCCACAATACTTGTGGACACACCTCTCTGTAGTTGCAAGCATGCTGCTGCCATGCAACTTTTCCTATCGATGTGAACAGATCAGGCACTAAAGAGACCAAAGAGATTCCACCCAAGTCTAGGTTGGTGAACTGGTGAGTTTCCTGGGATTACTTACAGGAACATGAACAACTCAAAATCAGCCACCATCAAACCCCATATCAGCTCATCAGAGCTGCATCCCTAAGGCTTCTTGTGTGACGTGAAGGCAATTCTGTCAGTCACAGCCCTCTCTTAGGCATCTACTACCTTAGTGAGGGGGCTTGTAAACCTTGGAACTTTGAGAGAATTATGGGCCTTTTGGGTTGATTTCCTTTCTGAGTCTTATGGGATCCCCTCATCCTGCTAGGAAGAATGTTAAATTTAGGGTAAATCACTGTACAAATCCACACTTGTATTTCAAAAGGGAAGAAGATATAGGCATCTGTCTAGGGAGGGAGGAAGAGGCAGGCCCTTTCTTCTAGGAGAAATTTTCAAGGAGCCACCATAGTATCAGATGTGTCCCCCAAATGGCAGCAGAACTCATGGAGGGCTTCCAGTTAGCTCATATTATGAGGAGTCTCACTGAGTGAGGACAAGGCACTTCTCTTTCAAGACAGGTTTGAGAGGGAGACCAGTTAGATTCTGATTCTGTTCATTCTTCCGAGAGGTTGTCACTTGGCTAGCTTGCCTGACCCACAGGGACAGCCCCAATCTCTGGACAGAGATGGATTACATTGGAGAGAAGCAAGAGGAAGTGGTCTTTCTTCAGATATGAAAAGAGAGAGCCGAGAAGCAGGAAGGAAGCAAGAGTTGACCTGTTGTCCTGGAGGAACTTCCTGTTTCCAGATGTTCATGTGTCCAGAGTTCTTGAAAACTGATAGTCTGCCTTGCCCATCCTGGCAGCAGATCATTTATTCCGAGGGAGAACATTCTTTAGCAAAGAGGTCAAGATGGTCACCGTTGATTTTGCTGGCTGCCCCGGATTGTTGTTTCTCACCAAGTCAAAGCTGCATTCAGAGCTCTCTCTACTCTCTCTGGCTCTTCTTCATCTTTCAACAATGTCCCTACTTATTAGATAATGCTTTTACAGACGTCAGAACATTTTGCTACCAATACAGTACACTGTGGGTTTTTGTTTTTTTTTCCCATCCTCATATGCAAAGAGTTAAAGAATTAACAAGTGCTCATGACCACCGAGCAAGAGAGGAGCAGGTACCTGAAAGTGAAAGGGGAAGGGCCAGGAGGAAGGATCTAGAAAGCCAGTATAACCCTCTCTTTTGCAATCTCTTGATCATCAGCTACGCCTAGGTAAGAGAGTTTGGCTTTCAAGTTGGCATTTATTTTTTAATTTATTGTTTCTTGGCTTGTATGTTTTCTTTGCTTTGTGGTACCAAACCTTTGAGCTCCATGAAGCCGTGGAGATTTGCAATGAGCCTTGGTGGATTTTTAGAAACAAACAACAGTAATATGAACTGCTAATTACAAATAGCTTGTTAATTAAGATGTAAGTAGTGCACGGAAGATAAGGATCTACTTTTCTTCTTTTTTTTTTTTTTTTCCTTCCCAGTCCTTTGCCCAGCCTGGCTTGGAACTCACTATATATGTATGTTCAGACAAAGCAATCCTCCTGCCTCAGCTTCCTTTGGGACTTTTCCTTCCCTTGGTCTCATATGCACTCTTTAATGGAGTTTACCATCATATATATGGCTACTGGTGTTAATCAGCTTCCTGCCACTGGAATTAAGTAGCTGATAAAGCATCTTATAGAAAAGAGAGATTCATTCCGGCTTGTCGTTTCTCAGGTTCCAGTCTGTGGGCACATGTTCCTGTTGCCTGTAGTGAGGCTGAACCTCGAATTGGGGAAACCATTTACCTTCTGATGGCCAAGCAGCAAGAGCTGCTGCCTGTAGTGAGGCAGAACCTTGCACTGGGGAAACCATTTACCTTCTGATGGCCAAGAAGACAGAGGGAATGAGGAAGGGGCCAGAATCCCAGGTTCTCTTCAAGAGCTCACTTGGCTGCCTAACTTTTCTTTCTTATAAACTTCACCTCCTAACCAGTCTGTTGTCTGCCAATAGCACCACAGGCTGGTGAAGAAGACTTTAGCTTCTGGGCCTTTGGGGTCATTTAAGATCCATGACCATGCAGGCTTTAACTGCCTCAAGCCACTTCCTTGAATGTGTTCACGGGACTGTCACAGCTCCTAAAAGTGAATGGCAGCCACCAAACACTGGCTCCACTCAAAACAAATGTCTTGTTTTTGTTCAATACCTTTCCAGATTTTTTTCAATGCCAAAGACTAGGGCCACTCATCAATCTTTTCCTCTTTAGATCAGAATTAAACTATCTGGAGACAACTCTGTGCTTGCTGGTCAGTGTTCCCAAACTTTACTGGTCTCCAGTAAATAAGGATTTGGGCACTAAAGCAAAATGTGTGGAAAAAAAAAACAACCCACAGATGGGACTGGCAGGTTGACCAGCCTTTGCTGCCAAGCCTGGCCACCTGAGTTCAGTCCCCAGAATCCACCTGGTGGAAGGAGAGAACTAAGCCCTGCAACTTGTCCTCTGATGGCCACACCGGCATCGTGACACGCATACCTGCTTCCCTTTCCCAACCCAAGTAAATAAATAAATGGGAAAAAATATGGACGACTCCACTTCACATTTCTGACTCAGGAAGTCTGGGTTCAGAGTTTGCATTTCCCATCAATTCCCCGGTGTTGCTGATGGTTGGGGTCTAGAGGACGACACTGTGGGAATCAGTCCAGGTCTCTTTGCCATTGAGGAAATAAAGGCTTAGAGAACCAAAGTGTTTGTTCCAAAGTAACCCAGCCCAGTGCCAAGACAAGCACCTCGTCTTCTGACCTTCACGTGCTAACTGCACACCTGTCCTGTTGTTTCTCTTAAAGCGCCACTGTCTACAGGACTCCCTCTGTGTTCCTTTGGCACTGGCCCAAATCTCAAATATCATACTCCTTCTTTCCCTGTGCTTCTAGACAGCAGACTTACACAGTAACTTGGGGAATAGTCTTGTTATCATGCTGGACTTCCAGGACCCAGAGTTTCTCAGAAAAAAAGAGCCTTGGTGCTGGTTTAGGCTGTAGATAGCTATATGTTCATGACATTCCTTAGTTTGCCTTTTGAGTTGAGCAGAAAAGATGATAAAAATTTTCTTTTACTCTCTTGGTTAGGGTTTATAATGCTGTGATAAACACCGTGACCAAAAGCAATCTAGGGAGGAAAAGGTTTATTTGGCTTATAAGTCTATATCATAATTCAACAGGAAGTCAGGACAGAAACTCAAATAGGGTAGGACCTGGGAGGTAGGAGCTGATGTAGATAGAGGTCATGAAGGAGTGTTGCTTACTGGCTTGTTCCTTGTACTTTGCATAGCCTGCTCTCTTATAGAACCCAGGACCACGAGCCCAGGGGTGCCTGTACCTACAATGAGCTAGGCTTTCCATGATTATTCACCAATGAAGAAAGCACTCTACAGGCCTGCAATCTTAAGGAGACCTCTTTCTTAAATGAAGTTCCCTCCCTCAGATGACTCTAACTTGTTTCAAGTAGACATAAAAACTAGCCAGGACACTCTCTTAGGTTCTTCTCTCAGGACTCTGAAAATTAAATTAAACTGACAAAGATCAGGATAACAAGAGAAAAGAAGGATATTTTGATTATGTATTTAGAAGGGTTTATTAAAGAAAAAGAAGGAGCAAACAAAGAAGAAGAGGAGGAGAAAGAGGAAGAGAAAGAGGAAGAAGAAGAGGAAGAAGAGAAGGAGGAAGAGGAAGAAGAAAAGGAAGAAGAGGAAGAAGAGGAAGAAGAAGAAGATAAAGAAGAGGAGACTTAAAGAGGTAGTGGCCAGATGATAAAGACTATATTGATGTTTGTTTGTTTGTTTGTTTGTTTGTTTATTGGACAGAGTCTCACATAGCTCAGTATGGCCTTGAACTCAAAATATTCCAGCCTCCATGTCTCAAGTGCCAGGATTACAGGCATGTGCCAATCACACCCTGCTCTGGATCCATTTTATATTGATATAACAGAATCCCAAGGTTACTTATAAAGTAATGTGGATTATTTGCTTTGTGATCCTGATGCCTAAAGTGTTCTAATAGCATGGTACCAATGCTTTGATGGGGTCGCCTAGCTGTATCACAACATGGGAAACAGGCCAAAAGGGTGGCCATGTACAGTGGTCAGCTATAGGGTGACATGTTCATTTGATCATTTTCCAGTTCCTAACTCGTTTTAGCACAAAGGAATCCATATATCAAGGAGGCATACTTTAGGATAGCGTATTCTGGACCCTTTACCATTTCCTGACACCCCTTCCCTTGAAACGTTTTCTCTCCCTTCCAAAAACTTTCCTATGCTAAGGATTAAGTTGGAGCTGGAATGGCAGCCAAGAATGTGGTCCTAGAACCTGGAATGTGGAGGCAAACGGGAAGGTCAGGAGCTCAAGGTTATCCTTTGCTACCTATTGATGGGCTACCCAGGATCTTCTTGTTTGTTTGTTTGTTTGTTTTCGAGACAGGGTTTCTCTGTGTCGCCCTGGCTGTCCTGGAACTCACTCGGTAGACCAGGCTGGCCTCGAACTCAGAAATCCGCCTGCCTCTGCCTCCCAAGTGCTGGGATTAAAGGCGTTCGCCACCACCACCCGGCCCAGGAACTTATCTTAAGACAAAACAAACAACAACTACCAACAAAACAGTCAGTCAGTTGACTCATTAGATAAAAGTGTTTGTTGCTGAGTCTGATGACCTAGTAGGATTCTTGGACCCACTTTGTGAGACGAGAGAATTTCTGAGAGCTGCCCTCTGACTTCCACATATGCTCAATGACATTCATGCATCCACACACATGTACACATGTATACAAATAAATGAATGAATGTAATGAAAAAATATAAGTAATGAAAAGAGCCGAGATGGTATTTGCAAAGAGAAAGGGAGAGAGCTTCAGGTTGATGGTTACGTGATGGGAGATCCTCAAAGGGGCAGAAACAAAGGGAGAATGAAGACAAATAGGTAGAAGTGGTCAAATGTGAGCTGTTCCCCGTACTGAGGCAGCCTGGCAGCTGGACATCTAAACCAACCGCCGTGTCTCATTGGGAAGATGGTCTCCCGAGAGGGTGCAGGGCACCACTATGCTGGTTGCTTCATGGTGCTAACAGTCAAGACACTTAAGGGGGACATTTTTAGGGACACATGCATGCGCGCACGCATGCACACATGCACACACACAGGTACTCCTGCACTCAAAGTTAGTGGCTAGAACAAATTATAAATCCAGTTTTTGAGTCCTGAGAGCATGAATCAGATGATTTCTTGACAATGGAAATAAAGCATCTTCAGAAAGTGGACCCGGGACAGGGAGTGGCAAGCCAACAGATTTCCTGGTTTGTAGTTTAAGCATCTTTGGCAATGGCAGAATAGTGTCACCGTCATGGTTATTTCTCCAGCAGAGCACAGAAGGGTCCAGTTTCATCTTGCCAGGATTTTTTTTTTTATTGTGCCAATACAGACCCAGGCAATCAGGTCTTTGTTCACAGACATGCCAAATCAGAAAGATGAGAGAAAATTCACAAATATCAATTACCAAAGAAAATATAATAAATGGCAGGACTCAATCTACAAGGAGAGTTTTTAAGCAAATGTGTCTAGAACTTGACAAATACACAGGTATGCTATTGTTTAGCATGGTAAGTGTGCAGGCTACGTTTATGTCAACACAAAACAAACTAGAGTCAATTTAGAAGAGGGAACCTCAACTGAGAAAATGCTTCTGCTAGATTGTTAGGTGAAATAAACTCTTCCCTTCTCAAGTTGATTTTGGTCATGGTGTCTCATCACAGCGATAGGAACCCTAAGTAAATACAGAAGTATAGAATATGACAGAAATATAAATGCCATTTCTGTCAGAGATACAGAAAAACTATACTTGCTTGGCCTGTTTATTGACACATAAATATAAAAATAGTGATTGACAAGTGGGTGGGGTTTGTTTTGCTGTGTTTTGTTTCATTTTCCAAAGCAGGATCTTGCCATATTATCCTGGCTGGCCTTGAACTCATGGCAACCCACCAGCCTCAGTCTTCCAAGTGCTGTCATTTCAGGGGTGAGACATCAATTTAAGTTCTTTTCAAATTTCTTCGGATTCTAAAAACATTTATTTATTTATTTATCTATTCATTTATTCATTTAATGTGTGTGAGAAAGCATGCATTCAAATGTGCTGCTTGTAACGTATATCTGTGAGTGTGTGTGCCATAACATACATATGGAGGTCAAGGAAAAGCTTTAGAAACCAAACCAAACAAATCAACTTTTGGGAGGTGTTCTTTCCTTTTACCACGTGGGTTCTGGAGATTGAGCTTGGCTGTCAGACTCTGCAGCAAGAATCTTTAACTGTCTCTTAAGTCAGCCCCTTTGGACTTTTAATAAAGCAGCAGCCAGGAGAGGTGATGCCGGAGGAGAAGAAGAAGGAGGAGAAGGAGGAGGAGGACGAGGAGGAGGAGGGGGAGGAGGAGGAGGAAGAAGAAGAGGAAGAAGGGGAGAAGAAGGAATAGTTTATCAGCTTACCGTAAATGGTTGATAGCTTAAGAGAACAGAGGAAACAAATTCCTCAAATGTGGAAGAGAAAGCACCGAAGAGGTATCCACGTTTAAATAGAAAGGCCAGGAGAGTTAGAACTATTCTTGCAGTTACTTTTCTTATTACTCTTACTGAACACTTCACAAAGGCTACTTGAGGAAGGAAGCGTTCGCTTTGCTCACAGATTGGGGGTACACCCACTGTAGCTGGGCAGGCATGGCTCTGCAGTCGAGTGTGACTGCTCGCATTGCCCCTGCTGCCAACAAGCAGAGAGTGGTGAATGTCTGCGCTCAGCTCACCTTCACCTTTCCGTTCCATCGGAGATTCCAGCTGATGGAATTGTGCCACTTGTATTTGGGATGGGTCTTCCCATCTCAGTTAATCAAATCTAGGCTTGTCTCCAAGGCGATTCCAGAGCCCATCAGTCGATGTAAACCCTCTCATTTCTCATCAGCTTACTCAGGGGCAGATCTATGAATCCATCAGCTTCAACATTAGCATTGCAGAAAGCTTCCCCGAGTGGCACAATGCGTGGATGCATGTACATCAAGACACTTGCGAGAGTCTTCCTCGTGAATCAAACTGAAGATTAAGTGCGTTTGCTGCAGCTGCTTCCTCCAAAGCTTTCTGAGGGGAGTCAGAGTAAGACAGCGTCTGCCAGTGAGTGACGGAGGATTTAAAAATAGTCACAATTAAGAACCAAAGAGAGTTCATTACAGCACAATTAATGAGGAAAATGGTTATTTCTGTGACATAAGCCATCTTAAAATAGTAACTCTACTTGCTAATAATAACATTATACCAGGGCAGATTATGGGTAGGAAAGACTGAAGCATTCATTTCAAACCCACCTGTATTGATAGCATCTATTTGTGCAGATGTGACAGACAAGTCAAGCTTCGATCTTTGTTGTGATGGTGATTGTTCTTGAGACAGGGCTTTGTAGTCAGTCTAGGCTTAAACTCTTTCACTATCCTCCTGCCTCAGCCTTATTAGTGCTTGGATTATGAAAGTGTGTCCCACACCTGGCAAGCGTCAGTTTTCAGTTGACAAAATTTCATAATTTAGCAAATCAAATACCTGATTGGTTTACTCTTTGTTTTCCAGAGTGAAAGAGCAAACCCATTAAGATTTTTTTAGATATTCTCTGGGGAATCTCAGACTCAGTTCAAAGTTTAGGAGAGAGGGAGGGACTGATGGAGGGAGGGAGGGAGAGAGATGGGGGAGGGGCTTGTTATATATTGGTATGCTGATTTATACCTGTAATCCCAGCACTCAGGAGGCTGACATGAAGATTCTCACAAATTCATGGCCAGCCTGGGCAACAGAGTGAGATCTAATAAATAGGGCCTGGAATATAGCTCAACTGGTAGATGCTTGCCTAACATGCACTAAGCTCTGGCTTAGACACCTAGCCCCATCAAAATCACATAGAGATCAATGCTTTGATTCCAGAACCAGGAAATTAAGGCAAGAGGATTAAAAATTCAATGTCATCCTTGAGTACATAATGAGTTAGAGGCAGGGCTGAGATATATATAAAATAATGTCTCTGTCTTAGGGTTTTACTGCTGTGAACAGACACCATGACCAATGCAAGTCTTATAAAAGACAACATTTAATTGGGTCTGGCTTACAGGTTCAGAGGTTTAGTCCAGTATTATCAAGATGGGGACATGGCAGCATCCAGGCAGGCATGGCGCAGGAGGAACTGAGAGTTGACATTTTCATCTGAAGGCTGCTAGTGGAAGACTGGCTTCCAGGCATCTAGGGTGAGGGTCTTAGGCCCACAGTGATACACCTACTCAATGCCACACCTCCAAATAGGGCTACTCCCTGGGCCAAGTATACACAAACCATCACAGAAAGCAAATACATTAAAAAACACTTTTAAGTCTTCAAGTTTGATTTGAGGAAAATCATCAGAAATGTCATAATGTTTGGAAGCTTGATTTTTTTAAAAAGATAACATCATCATTATATAGCAATTAGTTATCTATTGACCAAAATGACAGTAAGGATTTTTAAGGTCGCATGTTGTAAAGCAAAATTAAGTAATGAATAAGTAAGTGTTAGATTTCTGACTCTATGACAAAATACCCAAGATAAATTAGAGGGAGAGGAAGACTCGCTTTGGCTTCTTGCTTCAGATTTCAGTCTTTGGTCATACGGTCCTCTTTCCTTGGCCTGTAGTAGCAGAGTACATCACGAGGGAGGTAAATATGTAGTAGAAGTTTATTTACCTTATGGTAGCAAGGAAGGAGGAAGGGAGGGAGGGAGAGAGGGGGGAGGGATGAGGAGAGAGAGAGAGAGAGAGAGAGAGAGAGAGAGAGAGAGAGAGAGAGAG